AAAAAGGAGGAATTCTACAGACAACTGCAATCAACACTGGACAAGACGTCAGTTGGCGATATCAAAATTCTGATGGGCGACATGAATGCCAAACTGGGAGGGGACAACACAGGAAGAGAACTAACCGTGGGTGCAGAAGCGCTCGATGAGGTGATGAACGAGAATGGAGAATTGTTTGCAGAATTCTGTGCGTTCAACGATTTGGTGATTGGAGGTGAGGCAGTGTGTTCAAGCACAAGAATATCCACAAAGCGACATGGATTTCACCAGATGGACACACTAAAAATCAAATCGAATTTATCTCAATCTCAAGAAAATGGAGACGCGACCTACTTGACACAAGGTCAAGAAGAGGAGCAGATGTAGGTTCACACCTTTCACTATCTATCCAGTGCAAATAACCTTCCAAATCAAGTTAAAAGCCTTGAAGGAAGCTGATGATAGACCACAGTTCAAGTACAACACTCGGAAACTGAAGGATGAAACTACAAAGGAAATCTTCACGGCAGCCATCAAGACAAAATAGGAGATATCGAGAGACATCCCTGAAGAAACCTGTGTGGAAGAACACTGGAAGTCTTTGAAAGCTATGTGGAAAGAAACCTGCACAACAGTATTAGGAAGGAAGAAGAAAGAAGATAAGGAATGGATCTCAATGGATACATGGAAGCTGATAAAGGAGAGGAGGATGGTGAAGCAGAAGCAGAAGCAGAACCAGTGCAAGGATGCACAATGGAAAAAAGAACTGAGTACAACGTATAAAATACTACACTGTACAAAGAAGTGTGGACGGAAAGACAAAAGACCCTTCTACGAAACACTAGCAAGTGAAGCAGAACAGGCTGCAGGTAAGAGAAACCTGACAACGTTGTGTCAAATAACCAGGTTGCTATCTTGGAAGATATCAACGCAGACAAAACCAATGAAAGATAGTGAAGGAAACTGAATTACTAAAAAAGAGAAACATAGGAAACAATGGGCCGACCACTTCAAAAAGCTCTTGAATCGACCACCACCTGCACTTCGTCCAGAAATACCACCTACAGCCGCTGAACTTCCATTGAACATAAATCCTCCAACAAAAGTGGAAGTTCTAAACGCCATAAAGCTACTGAAATGTGGGAAAGCAGCAGGACCAGATGGGATCCCGCCAGAAGCACTGGAGACAGATACAGAGACAACAGCGGATATGTTCACACCACTACTGCAGAAGGTCTGGAAGGAAGGAAAGGCACCTGGTGATTGGAAGCAGGGCTACCTTATAAAACGCCCAAAGAAGGGTGACCTAAGTCTTTGCAAGAACTGGCGTGGAATCATTCTGCTGTCCACCCGAAGCAAGCGAAATATTATGCCGCATCATCCTGGAGAGGCTAAAGGATGCGCTGAATTCAAAACTACGACCGGAACAGGCTGGCTGGCTGGCTGGCTGAATTCAGGGAGAACAAATCATGTGTGGATCAAATTGCAACGCAACGCTACGCTAAGCATCATCATAGAACAGAGTTTAGAATGGCAGTCAACTCTCTACCTCAACTTCATCGATTTTGAAAAGGCCTTCGACAGCATCGACCGAGAAGTAATTTGGCAGTTGTTCCAACACTACGGTTTTAGTGCCACAAATCTTTATCAACCTCATTCAACAGCTATATGAAGACGCCACATGCCAAGTGATTCACAGTGGAAAGCTCAGTGATGCCTTTGAGGTGAAGACAGGAGTAAGACAAAGGTTGCCTACTATCACCCATGATCTTCCTGATTGTGGTGGACTGGATCATACAGCTGACAACTGTGGTGAGCGAGAAGAGGAGGATACGCCGGACTGCAGAAAAGAACCTAGAAGACTTGGATTTTGCCGATGACTTATGTGTAATGTCGCACAAACTTGAATATCTACAGGCAGAAACTAACAAGTTGACGGAAGGGGTGAGGCGAGGCAGCGAAGACCGGACATCAGGTGAATATAGAGAAGACAGATGTGATGAAGATACCGCACCCCCACCACCCCCACCACCACCAACAACAACAATAACAAGCTCCAATCACCATCAACGGGAGAAACTTGAAGGAAGTGGCCTCCTTCACCTATCTGGGCAGCACTGTTTCAACTACAGGCGGGACAGACGAGGATGTCAAAGTCAGAATCGGAAAAGCAAGACAGGCGTTCATAAGCCTGAAACCAGTGTGGAGATCTTCTGCACTCAGCATATTGAAGAAGATGCGAATTTTCAACACCAACGCCAAGTCAGTGCTTCTATGTGGTGGTTGAGAGACTTGGCGCGTTACGAAAGGGATTTCCAATAGACGTTAGACATTCATCAACAACTGCCTACGCTGGCTCGTTACTGAAGATCAGATGACCAGGATAATAAGAATAAGCAACAAGGAAATCCCTCTGGCCTGGCTGCGAACCAACCAAGAACCTATGTCTCAACAAATATGCAGAAGGAAGTGGAGATGGATTGGATCGGGCATACACTGAGAAGGTCGACTGGGGACATCACGCGTCAGGCCTTCGAGTGGGACCGCCATGGGAAGCGACGAGTTGGACGTTCGAGGCGAGGGTGACATTGAGGAGATCGTGCTAGGAGGAAATGAGAGCTTGTGGGTTGTCGTGGAGCCAGGTTCAAAAGATTTCAGAGAACAGAGTTCACTGGAGACGTGCTACTGAAGCCCTATGTTCTATTAGGAACCCAAGGGACTTATAATAATATAATCGATGTAAATCAGTCCCTGACAGTCATCTTACATTTGATAGTTGAGAAATCGCTGTCAGTTATTCAAATTTCTAGCCGTAAGAGAGATAACATCTCCATGACCGTAGGCACTAAACTAAAGTTTCTGACCACTAAGTCAGTCTTTGGGAAGAATGTAGTAATGATGATTGTGATCATCATCCAGTGGGTAATTGTTGAAGCTGTCTGGTTCTAAATTGTTCAACACTGACCGGAGCTTATCGATCAAATTTTACGATGTGGTCACTGTGCAAAGTGATGCAACTGTTGTGGTGTAGGATGCTGGGAGTTTGTTAGGAGAAAGCCCTGGACCTAGGTTCCGTGCTTGTTGGCACTCGTCAGCATTTCTAACAGATGCCGCGTTGTTATCATTTAAGACTGCAACTCTGTTAGTCAGTGAATACCGACAAGGGACCTGTGATTACTTCGTAGTGGTCCAGGTTGCCACATCTCATATCAGCGTATCAAGCGAGTATGTATGAAAATGCATAATGGAGAAATAAGCAAACAAGCAGTCAAAGGTGGTCGAAAGTTATTAAAAGAGATCAAGAGGAAATGGGAGGATACTGCGATTCGGCATAATAATGTAATATGTGAATATGTCTGCCTTCTTGAGGTGTAGAAATTCAGTTTGTATTGGACATTGATGAGTGCACTTGTGTTGCGGAACTTGGCAGGGTAGTAATATGTAACCGAGATATTCATGACCATGCCTGAAACTCACGTGGTCTTTCTGATTTGTTGTTCCCGAGCTTCACATAGGCGTCTGACCACAAATCTTGAAATCATCAATACTTTGCTCATCAGACTGATTGTCTCGTGGCTTTTATGACTATGCTTTCGAGATATCCTTTTTAGAATGATATACCTATTCAATACTTCCTTCGAAGTCAAATATTATGATAAGTTCTCCCTATCGATTAAATCCAATGATTCTTTAAGGCCCGTAAATATAAATACTTTAAGGCTTCGGTAGACTATGCTTGTATTTCAGAACTTGTTGATAGGTTGAGGTTAGGTTAACCCACTATTGTGCCTAGTTCCCCTAGGTTGACTGTTCTCAAGCACCATTTGGAGATCAAATGACTGTGCTCTCTAAAGTTTTAGAAACTTCATTAGTCATGTTAATTCCCCTGTGGTTATCACAAGTGGATATGAGTTCCTGTTCGTGGAATAGAGTGGTCAACGATTAAGGCCAGTTTACAGGGATTGTCATTGATTTCCAGCTACATTTTCTGTTAGTTTATCATCGTCTTTTTAGTCAGCCATCAATTTCCAATATGTCATAGATCGTGACTAAACCCCTAGATACTAGTGATCATTATTTTTTTCCGGCTTGACATAGATGTTTTGGTCTTGTAATTAGTAGAATTAATTATCAAAACTGTTGTATGTTTTCAGGAATTCAGTGCATGTGCACACAACAGTCAAAGTTGAATATCTGGTCTATGCTTCTCGGCTCGTGTATTGTTGTCACTTTTTGCAACTCTTGATGATAATGTTTTCATAATTTGTTAACCACGTCCATACTCATGCACTGTTCAGTGAACTATAACTCTTGTGTAAGGATTGGAGCTGTCACTCATTGGTCTAGGTATTTGACTTTCACTCTGCGGTTCATGAGTTGGAATGCCGCTCCACCAATCGAGGTCGGGACAGCCAGGTAGTATCACAAATCCTTGCACTACACGTTTGGCTCACTATCTGATGGACGAATCTGCATTTGGGTGCTAAGTCCATTCTGGTTTCTCCCGATTATACTACAGCTGTGATGCTACTTGGTTGCATAAACCTTGTCAGGTTGAGCAGGTTTTGTATCCGTGACTGATTGGTTAAAGTTCAACTGCTTAGGCCAGTTAGAGTAATGGACCTAGTACATGCAAGATTCATGAGATCATTACTACCGTTTTACTTTATTTTTGATTCCTAAGGTGTTCGTTCTTCACAGCATATTATACATTCGTGGGAAATTTCAGGTTGATTATTTCTCTGGATGTTGACGTAATAGTAGTGTCTTAAAATATGAATATTTTCAACTTGTAACTTTACATTTTTTGCTTTCAGTAGGTAGAGCAAAGTGCTGTATCTTCTAATGCAAAATCTACAGTATGTCGTCCTCACTGCAGCAATAGGCTTCATTGTTGTTATGTTAATGATGTCAAATAGTTTATGTCCCGTAACAAAATCCTGATGGTGTTTTCTTTTTGAATACTTCCGATCAATTTTGTATTTATGCATTGTAAAGTATTTGCTGGATTTGTTTTCCAGGTGTATTGAAGCTGTGCGATATAACCAAGTCCATCCAGATAATCCGAAGCTGGTGCCCTACAGAGATTCCAAACTTACTCGTTTGTTTCAAGGTTTCTTCACTGGTCAAGGCAGAGCATGCATGATAGTTAATGCATCTCCGAATCCTGAACTATTTGGCGAGACGTTGCACGCTCTTCGCTTTGCTGCTCTAGCTAAGCAAGTTATTGTTGAAGCCAATCCTGTAACGGAAACCGCGATTTCGGATCGGAGCAAGGTTGAAGCTAAACCAAGGTTTAAAATAATTAAGGATATCAAGTCGTACCGAGGCAATGTAATTATGTATGTTTTTAAAAATCTAATTGTTATTGTTTATTATTGAATAAGTGTAACGAAATGTTAAGCAGTGGTAACTGTTGATAAAAGATTCGTATTCAGTAAAATAATTTGTTTCTATTCCAAAAGGTGCAGCATATAAAACTAAGGGGTTGTTGAGTATCCGATTCAACCGAGCATAGTGAGAGACTGTTTAATCAGTATTAGCTGCCACGTGAATAGTCATACAAAATACGCTTTTTTAGTATTTTGCCAATCGTGTATGTGGTTTTAGAGTGCTAACACATGGTTTAGGATCATATAAGAGCTGCTGTAGATTAGTGGTTATTGTAATCCTGTTTAAAGTAAGAAGAAAGTAACATAGGTACAAAATATGTTTACAGAAGTCTCTTGTTTGACTCATTATCTTGTTACTTCTATGGATTTGCCTTTCATTTTGTAGCAAGTACGAAATTGCTCCTGATTGCAACTTTTTATAATTCACTACTTTTTTTCATTATAGTTAATGAAAGTCTATAGGTCTTTGTTTGCTCGCAAAATTTTTTACAACTTTTGAAACAGTTGTACTTGTGGCAGGAAAGGTTAATTACAGAATGACTTTAATATGGTTCTATTTCCTTAATATGCCAAGGTGGTTCTGTAAACTGAGACAGTTGGTATCCAAAAGTATTGATTTATACACCAAAACATTGAAGTAAGTAGCATTCACAAATTTTTTTTCTTTTGGAAATCTCCTAGATCTAAAGAACCAGGTTCTCTTGTAGAAGCTCAGCCTACACTTTGGTCTGGGGACGATTTTGAGAGAAAAACTTCATCCGAAGAAGGAGTGAAGGGAGAAACAATCTCGCTAGTTGAATCCGACTATATGTGTGTTTCGAAAGCAAATACTTCATCAAGTGATGACGGGATGCAATTGATACTAGACCACTTCAACAAAGGCGTATGTTTTAACCATGATGAATCTCATTCACATCTTTAATCTTCTGCAGTTATCGATTCTTCAAACTATGCAATATGTCCCTTTAATCATGAAAATGCGGTTAGAACGAGGATAATTATCTATCCGTCCACTCATTTCCAAAGCTATACATTCATCAATATGTAATTCAATGAATAGAATGTTCCATAGGAATTTTCGGTCAAAGGTAAAAGTTAATAGAACAGTGAAGATGCGCTTAGCAAAGGAGTTTAAGGATATTATGCAATGTGGGGAAAGTTTTGCAAGTTCCAGAAAATTGGCGAAGAAAAAAAGAAAGACTACACATTAGGGAAACTTCTTCTGGAAAATGTCATAGTTAAACTTTGTTTGAGGCATTGTTAAAGTTCCTGTACAAAAATCCAAGCGTGTGGATAAGAGGTTTGTGTGCAACTGAAGTATTAGCAACTAACAAGTTCACGCCTGAGCTACACGCTTAAGAGAAACATGTACAGTCACTTTCTCTTTGGTGCTTTTAAAATGTTGGATTATTTGCTTTGCTTTTATTTACCTTATATTCTCCAGAAGAAGCCCCTTTAATATGCAGTCATTCCTTTTTGTTAACTTTTCTCTTCGCTTATTTACTGGGACTTCCAAAAAATTTTCAGATTGCATAATACCCCTACACCCCTTTGCTAAACCGATTTTCACTGTTCTTATTGACTTTGAAACTTTCCATTGAATTATATATTGACGAATGTATGGCTCTGGAAATGAGTGGACGGACAGATAATTATCCTCGCGGTAACCTCCTTTTTGTTCCTTTCATTATTGTAATTTTCGTTTGTTCAGCAAGAACTAGATACTTTGTTTTTTTCAGCTGTCATTTTACTGCACAGCTAATTATTTATCGGTATTTTCGATTCAAGCTACGGAGCCCGAATGCTGACCAATTTTCGGTTTTAATGTCGTTCTCGAAGAGTGCACACGACTGTTATATGGATGATGGATATGGATCTGTTCATGTCATAATGTCAACTGTTCGACTACTCCATCTTTTATCAATTCCGACGATCAGTAGTGCATTGCGATAGAAACGGTGACTGCTTATGTAGCTAACTCCGTTGGAAGGGTTTAGTTTGTGAAACCTATACTTCTCGTTCTGTTATGAGAGCCATTTTGGTGACTGTGCTTGAAAGGTGCTTCCATTGGGTAAACTTTGACTACTCCTATATTTGAATTTCTTTCGAGGTGTGTTATTTAGTGCAGGTCCAATGGGCTAGTCTTTCGTGTTCACAAACTGGACTGCTCTCTAATGTATGTTTCTGAGGTAACTTAATTGTTATTCACAGGTGTTTTTTCAATCGTGTACATATCAGCATAGCAGAATGGCTTTATAAACTGAAATGCTAATTCAGTCTTAGTTGGGCATGGTGCAATTAACAATAGGATGGGGACTTAAATGACAGTTCTGCTCACGAATTTGTTTCAGTAGTGTCCATCCTCTAAGCATTGTACATTTCCTCGGAAAGGCTGAAATAATACTAAATGTCATGTGAACTAAATTAGTATGGATATTCTGTTTTTAACCTATTCTTGTGCATCTCTGTTATCTTGAGTAAAATTAGTTAGGAATACAAATCAAGTTAATCAGATCGATATATGGCACCAATCCATGCCGTCATTGCTTGTTTGTTTGAGCGACTTAAGAAAGTTTAGGTTTACCGTTGGAAGTTTACGAGATAGACGAAATCAATTTATGGAGACGGTGAGTAATATGGCTCGAAATTGATTGCAGTGGAGCACACGCATTCATGTTTTGTTTTCATCTAAATCGTAATATCATATAGCTGTATTCCCTGGATCATTTCCTCATCGTTTCGTGAACTTATGCAAGAACTAGTTTTATTGTTCACGCTTTTATATCTTCCATCTTAATGATTTTAGTTTCAATATTGTGATATAAAGTTCTGATGTGCAGTTATGTTAAGGTTTTAATTTGATTGATGTATATTTTCGCGTATCCAGGTCTTCGATGTAGCTAGTCTTGCAGTGAAACTAGTGATTAATTCCTTTATGTATATTTTAACTTCCAAGATTATTGATAATTGCTTTGACTTCTGGTATTTGAGGTTGATTTCTTCTGCCATAACCTAGTTAGTGATTAGGGAAGCGTAAGTTGTTAATGAAAGATTTTCCACCGACTGCTTTCAGGTAGCCACGGTAATTGTAAGGAAGAATTAAAAACTTTGTTTTAGTAGGCTCCTGGGAATATTTTCATATCCCATTGAATTTCTAGTCGTAGTTTTAGGTTTTTGTGTTTGCTGACAACTATACTCATATTCCCTGGTTCGCACTTATCACTGAAAAATAGGAATAGCATGCTTATTCATTTTGAGTTCCTTTTTTACTTATTTCGTATCAGGAGCTCATTGGATTAGTTAAAGATCTTTCTGAACAGCTGTTTGAAGCGAAAGGAGAATTGGTCGAGCAAGAAGCGCGTTTAAGAGCTGAAATGTGTGATAATATGAACCAACAAATGATAGATTTTGAAAAGAAATTTGAGTAAGTTGTGAGCGATTTATCAGTTTTTTTGGTTTGGTTCATTCATCTCTGGACGTTGCAAAGCACTGTCTCCAGTTAGTTGTAAGATGTATAATGAATCGCATACATTAGTGACATAATTGCGTGGGTGATCGTGTTTAACTTTAGGAAGGAAGTATGAAACAGGTATAAACATGAGTACAAAGATTGAAATGATATTCGCTGCTACTTACCAACACATATTTCAATATAGTTGACGGTTGGAAGTAGAATTTTTTCACGAAACTTTTATCCGATGGTAACCGACACCTGTTACTTCCCGAGGGCTGATCATATCCTATCGATTAGTTTTGCATAGTAATTACTAAACCAAGTGAGGTGACTCTGCGTTGTTATGTAATTTGGACTAGTATGTGCTGTTTGGCAGCTACATCGAT